CTGGGCTGAGGGCGGGTGGGCCGGGCTGAGCCGGGGTGAGGGGGCTGCGGCGCCCCTGGGCAGAGCTGGGTGAGATGCCCGGCGTCCTGCACAGCACCTTCCCCAGGGACCCATCGAGAGCAGGGTTTCTGTGGGGCCGCTTAGATGCTGAGCTCCAGTCCAATAAACATCCTCAAGCACGGAGTCCAGGTGGCCTGGGGTGGAGCCCCTCAGTGGGGCTGGGGGGAGCCCCGGGTCCTGCTCGTCTGCTGCAGTTGGAGCACTCAGTCCTGCAGGCTCGGGGAGTGGCCAAGCCTGTGAAAAGCAGGAGTTGTCCTTGGGTTACTGCTGCTGTATCCCCTGAAAGTTCTCAGAACCTGTCACCCAAAAGAGACCCCACCTGGAGAAAAACATTTGGTTTCACCTGTGGTTGCTGAGGCTTTACTTTCTGGAACCCAGTGCTGTTGTGTTCCTTGGATGTACACAGTCTTCAGCACAGGTTTGTACAAAGAGCAGCAACACATCTGGCAGGAGTGAAGCAACATGCTGAGCTGGAAGGCATTTGCCTTCTGTGCTGTTGTGCAACAGTGGGCAGTTACCATCCTTGACGTTGCCCCCTCTGATTCAGTAGCTGTAGTTTTAGTCTCCTTCATCCAGGAGGGGCTGAGATTTTTCCAGAGTCCCAGAACCTCATCCTCTGGTGTTCCTGAGCCTTACTCCCACCCACACATACCTCCAATGAATTGTTTTTTTAAATACTCTCTATCTGCATAGGCTTAAAATACAGTTTTGTGTTTCAGACAGTTCTGTTCTTTTCAAAACTCATTAGGGTGCTCTTCAGGTTTTCACTTCAATGGGAAGATTTATTGTCTCTGGCTTCCTACCCCTCTCAGTCTGGCAGAGGCTATAGGATAAGATCTGTTGCTTTCTTACATGAGAAATATTGATCTAATGAGTTTTATAAAAAAAATAACACCATAGGTCCAGCTGCAGAAACTCACCAGGGTTTCCTGTATGCCTGTGTGTAAGTTGTTCAGCTCACTCTAGCCTTTTAATGTCCTATCTCAGGAATTGGGGAGGACAATGAGCATTTGCTGAGTGTAAACCACTTTGAGATCCTAGCAAGAAGAGCACACCATTATGAAGTATTCAGCTGCAGGGCCAGACTGAATTCTTAGGCTATGCTCTCCTGGTCTTTTTTGTTTACCCTTAATTTTTCCACGTGTCTTCCCATCAGCACAACCCTCTTGCAGGGGAAAAGTGTCACAGAATCTAGCAGGTCTCCTCCTTGTGTTTTCACTTAGCTGTTTCTAGCCTTGATGGTGGCAAGTCTGGGCATCACAGAGGGGAAAATGCTGACAACCAGTGTTCTGCACTACACTTCTGATGGTGGTGTTGCACAAGACTTTGGAGGCTGAAACACTCTAGTGGAAATACAGGAGTGTTTTCTGTTGCCATGTGTACGTTCTTGGGGTGAATTTGGTGATAAATGCTCTTTAGCCAAGAAGTTTTCACCCATCTGTTTTTTTTCTTTGCCCTCTTTAGGGAGGCATGAAAGAAATGGAGCAGACGGCAAAATAACTCCTAAACTCAAAGTAAGACATCCTTGGAAAGCTGGGGTCTGGTGAAGACCAACAGGACATCATGCAGCTGAGGAAAACAGAAGGGACACTTTGTGTCTTCTGAGCTGACACCGTGTCCCTGTGTGCAGTGGAGGTGGAATTCCTCTGTCTCATGGACCTGTACAGCTGCTGTTCTTTCCAGAACTCGTTCGGGTGCTGCTCAGGTTTTCAGTTCAATGGGAAGAGGTGTTGTCTCTGGCCTTTGAAGTACCCTTCCTCCCTCACCCTTTCTCTACTGTCTGCTCTAGATTTTTGAGTCTGAGTTTTCTGTGCTTTAAGCAGAGGCAAACATCTGCTTATTATCCCCATGTAGCCATTAGTGTGCTTTCAGGTATGATCTTTTTTAGTTCCAGGGGGCAATATTTCTCCCTGTTCCCCAGAGAATTAGTTCTCTTTGCACATCCTGATGTTGAAATCAGTGTCTCAGCAGCTCTGGGAGCACAGCTGTAAACAGACTTGATGCTTGTGCAGCTGGCAGGAGCTGAACTGAATGTGGCAACGTGTTCAAATGGACAAAATTAACCTGTTGTGTTTGTTTCCCAGCTGAAGTGGAAATGCAGGAAAGAAGATGAGACGGGGGGATACTCCAAAGACCTTCTGTTGCAGATCCTGCAAAAGGTCTTGTCTGACACTTTCCTACTGCTCAATCTTCCCCTGCTCTCAGTGTGTAAGGAAAGCTACTGAATTCTGGGAAGCTCTGTGTAAACCAGGGTGGCTCTTTATGAGTTTTTTCTCTGCTGTCCAGCTTTCTCTTGCCACTTCCTGAGACCACCAGCATGGTTCCATTCACTGTGAGCCATTGCCCAGCTAGCACCCATGTCTCACTTCCAGCAGGGACTCCTGTGGAAACAGAGCAGCTCAAACTCCTCCACTGAGTGTTTGGTGCCCCATATAGGGGTTGTTCTGGTTGTGTGGTTGGGGTGCACTGGTGCCTTTGCTGAGAGCACCACGTTAGCTGCTCTGGGGAGTTCAGGGGCAGGGCTAGACAAGCCTGTGATCTAATTAATCCCAGCATGTGATCTTTGTTTTCCCTTCATGCCATTACCTCGTGTAGCTTTGACTCTGAGCCGGGCAGCCCTCTTGCACTGGGGCTTGCTGGAAGCAGAGTGTGTAATTCTGTGCCTCCCCAGAATGATTTATTCCTGGAGGGACAGAAATCTTCACAGGCTGGGGTCGGTGGAGGCGGCGTGTGAGGCGGCAGGGCGGGTGGCTCCAGGCTCCTGTCTGGGAAAACGTTTTCTCTTTGTGCCTGTCCCATAAAGCAAGGGGGCAGCTCTCCTGGTTCTGTGCTTAACCTGCCTGCCTTGCTTTGCCTGCCCAGTACGGCGACGTGCTGAACCTGCTGGTGTCCAGCAGGAGGAGCGGCAGCGCGGTGGTGGAGTTCGCCTCGGTGAAGGCTGCTGTGAGTCCGGGGGGGGCACCGGGGCTGTGCTGGGGGGGGGG